GCTCTGCCTGGCGTTGGTGCCTGCTCTCACTTTAACAGCTTTCTGGGGTTGTTTCTTGGGGGGCGATTCTCACCTGACCCAAGATGCAATTGGTGGCAATCCCAACACTTGGTCTTGGCCCACATGCTTCTTTGCTGGCTCTGCCAGGTCATTCTGCAGTGGGTCCTCACTGTCCTAAGGCCCTGGAGCAGAGATGGACCCATCTAGGGTTTCTAACGTCTCTGATTCTAAGAGGCTTCCACCGCCCCCTTGTGCCTTTTGAGAACAACCTTCTTTTCTATCAAATCCTCTCTCTGAGAGGATTAAAAACAACTGGATCTAGTAGTGCAAGCTTTGCAGCATCAGATCTGAGAGCATCTGTCCAGTCCACTGTGGCCAGTACCTTGTGCTCCAGAGCACTTGCTGGCCATCGTGTCCTTTCTGGCTGTTTCTAGCTGTTCACTTGTGTGCCTGGCTCGCTTTGATCCACCAGCAGTTCCCTACCATTACTTCCCCACACCAGCAACTGCTGCAGTTGGCACCAAGGCTTTAGTTCAGCAGCAGGCTGATGGAAGCAGTTCAGACTGCAAAGGGAAGAGGAAATGGCCAAGAAACATGCTTCTTGCTATTGCAAGACTGGAGGCCTCCCTGCCATAGAGCCAGGCAGGGGTGAGACCAACTGACCATGCAGCACTGGCCAGAGACAAATGTTCCTCCTGGGCTCAGAAGCTGAGAAAACCAGGCGACTGCACATCCAACCCAAAGGGAAAGTGATGGCTGGTCTTTATGGGGCTAACTGCCCTGACTTTCCAGAAGAAACCTGACAATGCCACTGGTTAAAGTCAGCAGGGAACTCACCTCTGGCTGTGCTTGGTAACTCTGGGGAAGATGATGCTTTTAAAAGCTGCCCACCTCTGCAATTCTGCCGCATAAGAGCAGGCCCCTTTCTAAGCCCTGCAGTGCACTGTTTCATCATACTTCCTACCCTAACTTGCACATAATTGTTCTGGATCTGAAGCTGCCCTGCTCATCCCCCATAAGCAAAGTGATGACATTACTTGTCAGGGTGTAGCTGATTGACTGAGCTGACATCAGCAGCCAGCACATGGCAGCACAGTGGTTAAAGTAATAGACCGAGCAAGTAATAATGGAGCAGCTCAGGCTGCCGACTGGCAGGAGACGTGGTTGGGCTTAACGGGGGGCCCAGTGCACCCTAAACATAATGAAAAATGGCTTTGCCGCTGACGAGCTGACATTTCAATACAATTTCAACAGCATGTAAAGCACCTTTATTTCCACGTAACGGCCTCCTTAATAAAGCTCTGCCCACCACAGATATTTATGACTAATGGGACGCTGACTGCTATAAATAATCCCAAGGGATCAGCTAAAAATACCTCTCCCCTTTCCTGCTAGCAGTTGCATCGTCTTGCTGAGTTCACAGCAAGGCAGAGCTGCCATCGCATCCCCTCCCAGCTTCCCTGGTTCTCTGGAGCTAGCCCTTTCCCTGGAAGCTGCTCCCAGAGTGCCTAAAGCATGCAAGCTAGACAGTTCTCTACCTCCCTAAAACGCACATTGTTATAAATGACTGACCCCCAGCACGTGGATTACTTGCTACCCCCATAAATACATCACTGCTGAAACGCAGCCACCTGTGGGGCTAAGTCAGCAGCCAGTAGAGCCCCAGCAAGCTGTACAACAGCACTGCCTGCCAGCTGTGCAAGTTGGGCTCTGCTAGGAGCTGGAACAGATGAACTTCAATCTGCCACCAGCTCCCCAAAGGAGGGAACCTTTGCCAAGTTGGTCAGCTGGAGGGCAGTCGCGAAATATCATGCACACAAAGGCAAATGCTTGGACACCTGCCTCTGCTGAAAGGTGGAAAAGGAATAACGTGTCCTGGACAGGGAGCACAAAGGAGCTAGGAACCAGGTCAGAGCCAGCCTGCCTTGCCCACAGAAGGCACGTAGGCCCCACGTTAAAGAACGCTGAGAAGTTATGCTGGGGTTTAAGGCAAATGCTAGACTCCGGCTCTATGGGACACAGTATCCTCCTTTCCATAGGAGACCTGAAGCAGCAGTTCTCTGGGCAGGGCTGAATCATGTGGGCCTGAGCCTGCTGCAGTTTCCAGGCCTCTGGTAACACCAGCAGCCTGCAGAAGGTAAGCTCATAAGTTCTTAGTGTGTGCAGCTACAAAGCCCCACTTGGCCTTGGGAGGCAGAAACCATCACCCCAACCTGACATGCTACAGAGACTTGCCCAAAACATGCAGCAGTGGCCAAAGACCTAGAAATAACCTGGAAGTCCTAAGGCCCAGTACCTTGTATAGCCCCTTGTACATCTTTCTCCACATCTCCAGGTGGTTTCCTTTGCAATCTGAGGGACCTGCTTAATTCACTCCTTGAGAACAGTCAACTACTTCTGGGATCACTTTTAATTCCCATCTAAACCAGAAACAACCTCTTTCCATCCCTACCATGCCCCTTCCACCCCCTTTGGGAATGCTGGTGCTCTCCCTGAATTCAATGGTTGCTCCATCATCTCCTTTCTAGCCAGGGGCTGTAAAGCACTTTGGAGCACTTGTTACTGCAGTCTCAGGTCTTCTGGCAACAGTGCTCCCTCTGCTGGCTCTAGAACAGAACACAAGCCAAGCTACCTCAGCCCTTCAGCCAGGCTGCTCAGTCACCAGGCTATTTTAAAGCGAGACAGACCCGGGACCTGAACAGATCGGGATTCTCACTTCAGTGTTTGCCGGATTTCAGTACAGACAACCCCACCAAGCAGCTCCCAGGGATGATGGGAGGAAGCCAGGGTTGGCACTTTGGTCTTCAAGATGAATTTTTATTGGGGTAAAGGAACACCAGCCCTCAGTACTCCAGAATTGCACACAGAAGGCAGACAGGACAAGGACCTAGTTCAGCATTCAGTCTCCATATCAGTGCAGAAGAGAGTTGGCCCTTTCATGTCACTTTAATATAGTCTTCGCATAGATTATTGGTGAATTGCATTGTTCAGAACTCTGCCACCAGCACTGACAAGCAGCAGCATTTAAGGGCAGGCCAGGAAAACAGGTAAACCTGCAATGTTCTAGCATCCCAATGTGAATCCAGATTTCTTTGAAGGTGAGAAGCTGGCAGAAGTCATGGTGCAGGAACTTACACACTCCATTTTCAGGGAAGAACCACTGGAATTATGCTCCATGAGAGATGATCGTCCACCCATTTTGGAGGCAAAGGTCCCGGGCACTACCTACACAAAACAAAATATGAGAATGTGAAAACTGCCATTTACTAGGTCAGACCGTAGTCCATTTCACCCCGTCTCCTGTGTCACATAGAAGATGATAAAAGGGTAATGAACAGAGCGTGATCAGTTTTTCCCCTCTTCCTCTCACACTTGCAACCTCCAACACTTAAGGTCCAGGAAGTTCAGAAAGAACTGGCGCTCTGTTGGATGCAAAGCTACAGGTGCAAGATTGCCATATGGTACAAAGACAATGACATCTGCCGCACTGGAGGAGTTTCCAGAGTTAATAATCCCTGCTGCAGCTTAGTCACGTTACATGTGGGGGAAGCATGTAGGTCCCCGTGAAATAACCAAGCCTCCCTCTGGTTCTGGTGGAGAAGCATCCCCAACCACCCAAGCCACTGCCCCCACACACAACCCTTATCCACCCCTTGTTGGGCTGACCAGGCAGACACCTGTCACTCACTCTTAAGTTGCCAGCTTCACCTGCTCGGCACACAGTAGGAACCGGTTGACGTGTTCAGTGCAGTTCACCACAGCCGCCTGGTTCTCCGCCAGGCACTGCTCGAAGGCTGTGAAGGACGCTGCACACTCGTGGCGGATCTTCCTCACAATCGGGCTGCAACAGACCATGCCCCTGCGCTGAGGTCTGCCTGGGAGCCTGGCTGCAGAACCCCCGCGGCCGACCAGAGCGAGTGCCGGAGCCAGCCCAGCCTGGCAGTGCCGGCCACCAGTCTGGGCTCGATGCTCAGCTCTGCCACAGGCTGGCTTGTGCAACCTGGGGGCAAATCACATGCTGCCTCTGTGCCCCCCATCTCCCCCCTCGTCTGCAAAGCAGTACTTCTGTCCCCCACCCTGACATCTGTTCTGGTGCAGGGACCACTGATCACTGGGGCGGGGCAGGGCAGGGCAGGACAGCAGGGATGTCACTGTGGACTCCCTGCATTCGCTGCAGGCTGGAGAGCTGACACACTGGGAAGAGGGGGGGGGGGAGGTGCATTAACACCTCTCAGCAAGTTCCCTGTGCCCTAAAGCATTGCTGTGTGGGGCTGGACTGTCTGCCTACCCCTGCGCCCACGCCTCACCTCCACGTCTGCGCACACACGTATGTTGCACGCAGGCCACACACCCACACCGCTCCCGTGCCCCAACATGCACCTGCGCCCATGCGCCCACACGTGTGCGCGCCCGCGCCCCGCACACACGCTCCCGCACCCGTGCGCACGCACGCGCCCCCCGGGGCTCACTGGGCCGCGGCGCACCGCGCCATGTCGCGCCGGAGGTCACTGCAATCCTGCTGCCACG